AAATCAGTGGTGCTCAACCTTCCTAATGCTGCAATCCTTTAATACTGTTCCTCATTGTGGTGACCCCTCCAACCATACAATTACTTCCATTGCTACTTCATAACTAATTTTGCTACTGTTAAGAATTGGGAGAACCACAGGTTGGGAACCACTGCTACAAATAGTTCAAGGTCTGTTTGTTGGCCTTTATGAGTGTTTTCCAGTTGAGTCTGATGTGGCGCCACACTTTGTCCCCAAAGTCTATTTTTGGTATTCCCGAGGATTTCATCACTTTGCTCTCCTTGCTGTTTTGTTGCATGGGGTCAGAATGGGCACAATTCCCGCACTGTGTCTTCAGTGTTGTCCCCCATATCGCTATGGTTCAGTGCCGGATGTTGTGCCACGTGGTGGGGCCGGCTCTATGGTCTTCCCTGTGCATTGGCTGCTCTGAGCAGGAATATCGTCCTTGGGGCTTGGTGGGCCAGGATGTGTTCCCCTCCCTCTCCATTTCTCCTGTGTGTTCTAATCAGATGTGCCCCTCTCCCCAAGCTGTAGCTTCAGTGCTGTCCTCTGAACTGCATTCTTCTGGGTGGGGGTGGGGTGCCCACATTGTTGGGATGGGGGCCGACCCTGCAGACTTCTCTAGTGCCTGCTACATTGCATGGAGCTTTGCAGTAGCAGCATGGCAACTTACTCATTGCTTTTTATTCCCCATCTTAATTTAGTCCTTAACTGCTTTTCCATCACTTCGTTATCAGCCTCTCCTCTAAGGATTCTATTTGTCACCTGAGAATAGGAAAGAAGAGAGGTTGAATTTAATCATCCCTGGAAATAGCATCGGGCACCATTTATTGAGCACTCTCTATGTTCTAGATGTGGCTTTTACATACTGGTATATTATCCTCTTTCACACAAAAGCCCTCTCAGAATTTAAACTTAAAACTGACTGATCCCAGAGCCTGCTAAAAATTACTCTCAGGTCAGCTCTGTGAAACCTTGCTGCCCTGGGAATTAAGCAAAAATTAAGGTTCTCTATATTGGTACAGCGGGTTAAGTGTTAGGCTGCTATCCACTAGCTCAATGGTTCAAACTTACCAGCCATTCCGTGGGAGAAAGATGAGGCTGTCTACTCCCAAAAAGACCTACAGTTTCAGAAACCCTAAGGAGCAGATCTACTCTGTCCTGTAGGGTTGTTACAGGTTGGCATCCACTCAGTCATGGTGGTTTGATTGGGGTTTTTTGTTGGATGGGGGTGGGGATGGGATGGAGAACCTTTCATCTGAGCCAGGATGTGAAATGAATGTCCCTAATGCCAAACCCAAACTCTCAGGGTAGCAGTAACAGTGGTTTGGGGCCTGGGCATGCCCTGAGCCTTTGTACACAGGGTAACAGGCATCAACAAGCTGAAGTACACACAAGGACAGTGTGGGAAGGGCCACACACATTACCCAGGCCTAACACACCACATGGACATAAGTCACTGTTGGATTAAGTTATAAAGGGCCAAACTCCCAAACTGGGCTTTGCGATTAAAGATCAAGATCAAGTGTACCACTGAGGACAGGTGTGAAATCAGAAAGAGGAGATCTGGATTTGAATAAAGTTAAGCAAGTAGCTTGTGAAGAACACCGAGGACAAAGAAAAGTCAAAGTAGAAGTGATGACGGTCCACCTGGATGTGGGCTATGATTTCAGTGTACTGCTACACTGTCTGAGAACTTATTGGCATATTACCATCTGGTAGTGGAATACTGACATACTGGAGTTACCATCCTGGTGGCTCAAAGAACAGCTGGCCTTCATAGGGTGTCCAGTTGGGGGGGTGTTGAAAGTAGATCCCCAGGCCTTTCTCTTGAGGAACATCTGGATGGACTTGGGGTTGGCAGCTGAGCATGATGATTATTTGCACCACCCGGGAGTTTTTGAGTATTATTTTCCCGAGACTGTTTCAAGACAAATGTGGCTTTATGGTGATGTCTGCAAGGTATTAAAATGTCTACCTAATACCTAAGAGATAGTTCTAGGCCTGAAACTTAGGGTTCATAGAAATTAGTTTTCCAAGTGGTTAATAACCATTCAAAAATTTAAAATGACATTTAAGCATATTGTCTATTTATACACCCTAGATCAGGGGTGTCAAACTGGTGGCCCGAGGGCCACATGTGGCCCCCGAGGTAATTTTTTGTGGCCCACAATGCTCTGAAATAAAATGAAAATAGCGCTTAGGGGATATCAAGGCAATACCATACACACAATTCCCTCATTACATTTCATTTCAGAGCATCGTGGGCCACAAAAAATTACCTCGGGGGCCCCCAGTTTGACACCCCTGCCCTAGATAATGGACACTAATATTCCAAGTAAACGTCAAAGTTAAGTAAGAAAATCTGAACTACTTTTAATTGGCCAAACATTGACATATGTACAAAACTAAAACCAGTTTAATAATTACAGTTGGGGGGAGGGGGCAGGTTTGATTAATAGTTTAAACTGTTAAATACAAAGTCGATCTGAAATGTAAGTCCCCACCTAATTTACAATTTAAAATGGTTTAACAAAAATAGTAATTGAGATTTCAAGTTTGGGGGTTAAGTCCTGTGCCACGCTAAATAGACAAAAATCTCCTTTAAATATTCCATAATTCCCCTATTCTGAAGGCTGAAAAGCTTTAGCTTCTGGGACTTAAAGAGAAGTATTTCAGAGGCCATGTGAACCTGTTGTTTTTTGGAAATAGGTGGTTTTCCCCAAGAGATCATTAGCACCCAGCTGGTTCTCAGGTGCTCATTTCTGCTCATCTTCCTTCATTTAGAGCCAGCCTGCGGCATACAGCATAGCTTACTTTGCCCTCACCTTAGATTATTTTTATTTGGCCATCATTTCTAAAGGGTGTGGCCACTGTATATGGACTCCTGGGTTAACTGTTTTTGTCTTTTCACCCTTTAATGCGGGGAGTTTCACTATTTTCTTGCCCCAGGGGTTTTTAATGAGAAATGGATAGTCATCAAAATACCCTCTATGCAGTATGCTGTTTTTGCTACTGCTTTCAATATTTTTTTATCTTCCATTTTCAGCAGTTTCATTGTCATGTGGTTTTCTTCATCAGTCTCTTCTCTTGTCCTGTTGGGGCACCAGTGGCACAAATATTAGCCCTTTTAAGATGTGCACACGCCCATCTGTCTCTGTTGATTTGGTGTTTTGGTTTGGTTTATAAGGTGCTTTGGTTTTCCTCTTCTGCTTGGGTCATTTCCGTTAATCTGTCTTCAAGTTCACAGACTTTGGTCTCTCATCTCCATCTGCCAGTGATCCTCTTCTCCCCCCAACCCCCTCCAAATTCAAGTGTTGTAGTTAACAGTACTAAAATGCCTTGTTTTTTGTTGTTGTTTTTTAAATAATCATTTCTATTTCATTCTCTTTTTTTCTAATTTTAAATGAATGCCTTGACACCAACATTTTTTAGTTTCTATTTCTTGATAATAGTGTTACTTTCCAAATTATTTCTAGAGTGTTTACTTTTGCTTCATCTATCATAGTTATAATATTTAGTGTAAAGGTTTGAACATTTGATATCTGGGTTATCCCAAGGTTGGTATCCATTGATTATCCATCCTTTCCTTTAAAAGAATTGTTCACTTCAAATAATAACACACACAATCCTTGAGAATAATAGCCTTGCTTCATTTGCCTGGTTTTGTGTGGTTTAGGAGATTGCCAACCTGGTTAGGTGCAGAGGACAGACTTTCCAGTCTGGTTACTGGTTCCAGTGTCAGTTCACTCTAGCTTTCCTGTGTTGCTCTCTGGTCTGCCCCACGGTCAGTTCATGTACAGAATTAAGGGATCTCATTCTCACTTGGGTGCCAAGGGCCCCTTTTCGGACCCTCTGGCTACAAAGACTGGTTCTCCTGAGCGACGGGACCGTCCGCTGAGAAAGAAAAGGAACGCACATTACCTCAGAGTCTCAGGCAACAGGAGCTCCTTTTCCCGGTTCCTCTGGCCAGAGGATTATCCATCCTCTGGTTTTCTTCCCGGGGTTTTGGGTGCCTGAGCCACCACTGTTGCAGTCCACTCTGCACCTGGAGCCCCCTTGAGGAAGAGATCGAAAAAAGGAAGAATCAACAAAGAGAATGAGACGTGCCTGACCTTTCCTGGGTCCCATGGTTCCCTGTTCTAGTTCTCAGACCTTTTGCTGCTGTGCCCTGGCACCTGTGTAGATCTGCAGTTGGATTTCCCTAAGTGGAAGCTGAGAGAGTAAAAAGTTAAAAACCCAACAGGAAGGAAGCATACTTGCATTTTAGGTGGTGAACATACATCACGCTTAGGCTCCCCTCTGCAGCCCGCCTACTACTGTTAGCCTTTTCAGGTCTGCCCAGTAATTTTAGTTGTAGTCGGTGGGAGAGGGAGTCTGTAGTGGGCTTCAACCCAGAAGTCCCCTCATGGGCTCAGTCAGAGTCAGGCATTACATATTGGCATTTTAGACGAGTGTCTCCGGCTGCCATTTATGGAGGAAGGTGGACCATTTCAGAGTTTTTCCACCCTCTAGGAGGTGAGAATGTAGGCATCATGAGAAGGAGATGAATTAGAACATTAGAGAACAAATGGACAAACCTGGTGACAAATTAGATGTGAAGGATGAAAGAGTGTCAGCTTTGTCTTGAGGTTGGAGGGATAAGAAAGTAGTGTCGTTGTTGTCCTGTATGTAGCAGCAAACCTGGGAAAAAAATACCGCCCGAGAGTGAAAGCTTCTGCGCTGGCTTCCTATAGCTACAGTCTCTGACTATCTCCAGAGGAACCTGGGTGATAGCATGTGACTTGCCGCAGTTCTGTCTAACTAGGGATGTTGGGAAGTATAATAGCATGCGGTGTTTAATTTTTCCTCATGGTTTCCAGCCTAGTATCCTTGCAGTTCTTTTTACATGAACTGGTATCACATTAAAACATCATCATACCTTCCTGGGCATTTTGTTGGAGGTACCTAATATGTTACCTTGTAAGTAAATATTACAGCTACCAATCAGAGTTGCTTTCTGGAAAATGTATTGTTTCTAAAAGATAAGGGGAATGAAACATGAGATCCGTGTGCCTGTGTTTTGGACTCATGCTCCTCAGGTGAAGAGTAATGTGTGTTTACGTTACACACATTTTTCCACTATTAAAATTGTCCTTTCTGTTGTCTTAACCAAATAGCTTGAGAAAAGTCAGTGACTATAGCCCATGATACAAGGCAGGCAGTAGGTGTGATTTTTTTTTAGCTGTACCAGAAGCAGGACTCAAATTCTCAAACTCACTTCCATCGAGTGGATTCCAACTCAGATTATGTACTTTTCTCACCTGGCACTCTAAGCTAAGAGAAAAATGTAAGGCGTCTCACCAGAACCGTGGAGTCTAGCTTCTCTTCGAAAACGGAAGTAGCATTTACTGAACATAAATGAAGCCAAACTAGAAACCTTTATCACAGTCATCCAAGCACACCTGATATTTGTACAATCCCATTTTGAGGTGTAGAAATGTGTACTATACGTGGCAGATGGCACAGCAGCTGGTCAAGGAAATCTTCCTTGTGCTTTGATAGCTGCAGACATTGGGGGCGGGGGGCAGTGGAAAGACAGGGGGCTTACTTTTTAGAAATGATCTTAGTGTCTGTATTTATCATGATTGTATGAGGATGGCCCCTAGTCACATCACATGAGGGAGGCCCTCAGCCCGACCATTGGGGCCAACACACTTCCTCACCCAAGTCTAACTTCCCTGACCTACTGTATATGGACCAAAAAAAAAAATACTTCCTACAAACATTTTTGATGATTAAATATCATTCGTGTAACCTTTGTTGCCTCATCTGTGGCATGTAGCCAATGCTCTGGAAACACTAGTTGTGCTTAAAATTTAACTCCGCTCAGTGGACAAGCCCTTCAAAGTCTTTTAAGATCTTGGCTTTTCGATTTATAAAACAAAAATAGCATTTGCCCTTTCTGCCCATTCACCCAGAGCATTGTTATGAGGTTCAAATGTGAGCATACCTCAGAAGGACTTCAATAATTAATAGTTAACAAACACATTGTTAAGGCAAAGATGTACCCTGTTGAGTACACATTGCCACTGGAAAACACTGGGAGGCAATGTACCATCAGGCATCAGGCTGTGAGCATTTCAAAGGCTCAGAGAGAAGCAGGGGAGACAGTCAGGGAAGGCAGGAATACTGAGGTCTAGTATTGGGGACAGATGTTGTGAAGCAGGGGGCCTTGCCACTGGGTCTTGAAGGAGAGACAGGCTGTGGCTGGGAGAGGGGACTGCTTACATTGATAGCTGTAACTGCTCTCTGTCGTTACAGGCAGAGCTCATTGGGAGCCTTACTCAGAAGCTCGAGACCCTTGAGGAAGCCAAGGAGAGTGTGCTGATGGACATCAAGTTGAATAACGCCTTAGGAGAAGAAGTAGAGGCTTTGATCTGTGAGCTTTGCAAGCCCAATGAATTTGACAAATACAAGATGTTCATCGGGGACTTGGACAAAGTGGTCAACCTGCTGCTCTCCCTCTCGGGACGCCTGGCCCGTGTTGAGAACGTCCTTAGTGGCCTTGGGACAGATGCCAGTAATGAAGAACGGGTGAGTGTCAACCCATTCAGCTCCACAAGTTTTCCCTCTGAGCCCATGTTCATAGAGAAGTGCCGTTAGGCAAGATTCCCTCTTTCAAGATTTTTGGCCTCTCTCTTTAAGGGGAGGAAGAAATGCAGCCAGCATATAAATCACCCGGAATCAGAGAATAACGCATCTTCTGTGCCAAGCCGGGATGGGATGCTGACACTCCAAACACGGGCCAGAGTGTCTTTCATCCCAACTCCCTCCTCTCCATGGATATTGATAAAAGAGAGGTGGTACAGAGTGGGTGCAAATAAAATGTCTTCAGAGCTGCAGGGAATCCGAAGATACAGGAGCCTGACAAAGACACTGGAGAAAAGGGAAATGGATTCCTCTAGCAGTGGGAACGCTGATGTCCCCTTGTTTGTGGAGCAGAGCAGAGGTTCTAAGCTGCAAAAGAAGCACCTGGAGGACTTGTTGAAACCCAGGTTGCTGAGCCCAGCCTCCAGAGCAGGCACAATAGGGCCCAAGAACATGCCTGTTTCACAGGTTCCCAGCTGAAGGGCACTTGGGAGAAGAAGTACTCAAGAGACCTTGAAGATCATCCTTTGGAACCTGTTGCTGTGGTAGGGTGCTGTTGAGTCGATTTCTGCTCCTGGCAACCCCGCGGAACAGAACTACCTCAGAGTGTTCTAGGTTGGAATCTTTACAGCAGCCAGACCTCTAGGTTGTTCTGTGACTAGGAGCCCTGATGTCAAAGTGGTTACACGTTGGGGTGCTGAATGCAAGGCCAGCAGTTTGAACACACTGTCCACTCCATGGAGAAAGACAAGGTGTTCTACTCTTGTGAAGAGTTAGTCTCGGAAACACAGTCACTCTGAGTTAGAAGCGACTTGATGCCAGTGAGCTGGCACCAGTCTTGTGGAGCCACTAGGTGGTTCAGTCTACAGCCCAGCCCTTCACCACCATGTCCCCAGGGCTCCTCCTTTTAAGTGAAAGTAAAACCCAGCAACAACTCACTGTCATGTTGACTCGGCAATTGTATGGGACACAGTGGAACTATTCATTCTTTATGGGAGTAGACCGCCTTCATCTTTCTCCCAAGGGAGTAGCTGGTGGAGTCATTCAAACGGTTCCTTTTGGGGTTAGCAGCCCGACTTTTAACCCACTACTGTATGAGGGTTCCTTCTAAGTCTAGAAAAACCCCAGCCCACTTAATTTATCCCCTTTCCAATTAGGGCAGGAGAGGTTAATTACCTATATGGAAACAGCATAAATATCCATCCACAGATGACAAGAAAAACAAAATGTGGTGAGTTGCCATGAGGAGCAAGGAAGCCTGGTGCACGCCATAGCCAGGATGACCCTAGAAGACATTGGCCGAGCGCAGGCTGTCAGCAGTCCTGAAAGGATAGGCACTGTGTCACCACATGAACGAAGCACACACAGGAAGGGGGTGGGGGCGTTTTTCTCAGAGAACACTAGGGGCTGGTGTCACTGGAAGGGCATAGTGATAGTGGCTGTGCGTCACCAGAGACGGGGTTATTGGATTACAGATCTGGAAATTGCTGAATTGGCACAGGTGTTGTAATGTATGTTTTCTCCACAGCAACATTTTATCAGAGAAAACAGTTTATCAAGGAACATAAAAAATAATGAGATTTTCAAAGAAATCCCTCCCTGGGTGGCACAGCTGGCCAAGCCCTCAACTGCCACCTGGAAGTTGGTGGCTCCCCACCCCCCCAAGGCAGGTGGGGGGAGGGCTGAAGCAGCCCTGCTCTGCAACCCCCGGGGCAGGCCTGCAGAAGGGTTCTCTGTGCCCTCTTTGGGTAGTGGGCCCTTGCCCTTGCCTGACCTGTGCCTTTTGCCTTGGCAGAGTTCTCTCAACGAGAAGAGGAAGATCCTGTCGGGGCAGCACGAGGACGCCCGGGAGCTCAAGGAGAACCTGGATCGCCGAGAGCGGGTGGTGCTGGACATCCTGGCCCACTACCTCTCGGAGGAGCAGCTCCAGGACTACCAGCATTTTGTGAAGATGAAGTCAACACTCCTCATTGAGCAGCGCAAGCTGGATGACAAGATCAAGCTGGGTCAGGAGCAGGTCAAGTGCCTGCTGGAGAGCCTCCCCTCAGATTTCATTCCCAAGACGGGGGCCCTGGCCTTGCCCCCGCACCTGATGGGAGAGACGGTACCTCCTGCTGGGGGATGTACTTTCAGTAGGATTTTCCCAGCATTCACCTCTCCACTTTAACCTCTCCTAAAACATTCAACCAAAAAATCCGCTTTTCTCTCAACACTATTTAATTTTGAAAAGGTTCCTGTACAAACCACCGTTTTAAACGATTGGGGCTACTGGGGGAAAAAGGCCTGGTTTGGGTTTGTTTGAAGGTTTTTCCTTCTCTCCTTTCATGATTGATCCTCTGAGAGCTGGAATGCGCCTGGGAATGTCCCCGCCCCGCTCTTACTGCAGCAGAAAGAACAGTCAAGGGACTGACAACTATTTGGAGGATGCCTGACGGACTGCGCCACCTCAGGAATGTACCCACAGTGGCCTGCCTTTCTTGTGGGCAGCGTATCCTGACAGCAGGGTACGTACGCACCCTTGTTAATGAAGGGGCTGCAGCACATCAAGCCTTATAAAGACAGTCACACACACACACACCCCGAGAGAAAAGAATTATAAAAACCTTGAACATTGTTATTTATATTTTCTGAAATGTAAAGAAAGATCTTTGTGTGCTAACTGCTCATTTGATTCTGTTTTGTGGTGGACGTAGACAATGACGTTTGAACTTTGTATTTTTTGTGAAAACCTTAATGAAAATGAATTCCAAAGAGAGCCACATGGTGTCTGGAGACTTGTTCTTTCCTACCCTCTAGAGGTGTGTCTGATTTTTCACACAAGCTAGGAGACATGCTACGTTTGGATGTATTCAATGGAATTTTTGCAAAGCCCCATTTCCTAAACACTCTACTCAGCCACCCCACCCGCAACCAGGAGCCTTTGGCAGCTTGGTTTTCGCCCGTCTTCCTGCTTCATGTCACTGTGATTGTGGTGAAGCTCCATTTATTACCAAAGCAGCAAAGCCCTGTATCATGAGGAAGGCCAATTCAGACCGGAGCTCCTGCTGCCCACCTTGACAGGAAACAGTCCATTAATGGGATAGATTATTGAGAGATGGTGGTGCTTACAAGTTGGTGTCCTAGAATATTAAACCTGTCAAACACACCTAGAAATTCTCTCCATGTCTGAAACCTTGATTTTTACACTCTCATACTTCAATGGCAACCGCTCCTTGGTTGTCCCGTAGCCACAGTTGTCAAGTGGTTGAACCAGGAAGAGGAGAAGGAAGGTAGTAGTCAGGGGTTACTCCATTTAAATGGCAGACTCCATTCACAGCCACTAGTGATGGCGGCAGCCTCACACCTGGAGCAGGTGGTTCATCCGAGGCTGTTCTACTTGTGTGTGATCCGCGGCGGCTGGTGGCCTTCTCTGTGGTTTCATCATGCAGTACTACAGCAGCCAGTCAGAATTGGAGTAAAGTTTGTAAGGGGGAGGGAAAACAGTAAGGGTTCCAAAGGTTCTTTTTCCTTTCCATGCATTTTGATTGTTACTGTTTTGGGGTACAAAAGAGGCCCCAATTATAAACAGTTTAAGGAGAACACTACTTCAATCTTAAATGGGATAAAGACAACGACACACCATCCAGATGAGGGAGATCATTAGTGCAAGGCCATAATGGTGCCTATAGATTTATAGTCAGGAAGCTAGTTAAATAAGGCATGAAACGAAGCTGTCACAAACTCAGATCACAGATACATCGCAGATATAAGTGGGACTATAGACTCAGGAACAGGACAATGACTGGAACATGCATATTGTTAGAAGCACTTGGTCCAGGACCTTCCAATAAAGCATCTGGTCTCCTAGTATGGTGATCTGCATCGAGGTCACATCTGGGCAAGCCCTCCCTGGGTGGTGACTGTAATCCACTTTTCAATGCATTCTGCTTGAGAGCAAGACTACTCACTAATTGATCAAATGGATTTTGGGTTTTCATTGTAAGCTATGTTGTTGTTAGGTACTGTCAAGTAGGTTCTGACTCCTAGCCATCCTATATACCACAAAACGTCAGCATCACAATTGTTCTGTTTCAGCCCATTGTTGCAGACATGATGTCAGCCCATCTTGTTGAGGGTCTTCCTCTTGTTCGCTGCCTTACTTTCCCAAGCCTGGTGTCCTTTTCAAGTGGCTTGTCTCTCCTGATAACACATCCAAAGTATGTGAGGGCATCTCACCAGCCTTGCTTCTGAGGAGCATCTGATGGGCTGGTCTTCCAAGGCAGATTTGGTGGTTCTTTTGGTAGTCCGTGGCCCTTTCAATGTTCTTTGCCAGCATACATCAATTCTTCAGTCTTCCAACTTTCACATGCATATGAGGTGATTGAAAATATAGTGCTTTGGGTCAGGTGCCCCTTAGTCCTCAAGAGAAAGCCTCGGTTTTTCAACCCGTTGAAGAGGACTTGTGCAGGAGATTTTCCCAATGCAATGCATCCTTTGGTCTTGCAACTGCTGCTTCCATGAGCAATGATTGTGGATCCAAACAAGATGAAATTCGTGACTGTCCTCTTTTGTGTTTCTGAGTTAATGCACAAAGTGGCATCATCTAGGAAGGTTCTCTCTGGTCACTGAATTTTTTCATAAAAGCAGTTTCACTTGAACCTTGTTTTTTGTGATGGCCAATTTCAGAGAACGGCATGGAATAAGTGAAATATTTCCTACTTATTTTACCTCTCTGTGCAACTTCTTTTTCTTTCCACGAAAGAAGAGGAACATGTAAGGAGAAGAGATGAAGGGAAGGTGGTGACCGAGTAACACATACCAGAGGGACTCTGCAGAAATCAGTGCAGGAGACCAACGACAAGGGAAATTCCATGCTGCCTTCCAGGGCACTCCCGGTGCAGCAGGCACCCCTGCACGCCCTCTGCAGCACCCAAGTCTCCGTGGGCCACGCCACCACGGCTTCCTGTGAGATCATCCAGTGCAGCACCATCCTCATGGGTCCACAACCACTGATTGTTGAAATCTTATGTTCTTAATAAAATCCTTTGCTCTCGGGTCAACTCCGACTCGTGGCGCCCTCTGTGGTTCAGAATTGAACTGTCCTACATTTCCACGGGGTTCTCTCCATGACTGTTTCCCCAGGGACTCCTGTGTTTTTTTTAAAAGACTTCAAACCCATAGTTTTGGTCCCCACGCCAGATGTCCTTTGATTACCTTAGATTGCCCAGAAGTTTCATAGGAGCAGTCGGCCAAAGCTGTTTCCTTGTTCTTTGCTGGTTTTACCCTGTGTGACTCCACTGATTCAAGAGAGATCAGCTCCTCCATTTCCCTGGATAGAGGACACAGTCAGAGATCCCGTCTCCTGTGGAATCAGTGGAGCCAGTGACAGTGTTCCAAAGCCACCAAAAAATAAAACACCAAACTCACTGCACTGCCACCGAATTGATGCCAACTCATAGCAACCCTATAGGACAGAGTAGAACTGGCCCCTGTGAGCTTCTGAGTCTGCCACTCGATGGGAGTAGAAAGCCCTGTTTTTCTCCCACAGAGTGGCTGGTTTTAAACTGCTGACCTTGCAGTTGGCAGTTCAACACGTAATGATTACACCACCAGGCTGTAACAGCCATACCACATGGTTATTTTACACTTAGCCCAACCCAGAAGCGTGAAATCCGTTACAGTTGGTAGTCTACTGTGTGTCTGGCTGATAGGGACAGTCAGACTAGTTGAAGTTAGCTGACAAATGTCTACAGCTGCTATTAGTGATAGTCCTCAGAGGAATTCTGGGACCCCCAGATCCATCCTAACACTCCAACATTCTTCTTTAAAGCTTGGCCAGGTACATTTTTTGGAGTCCTTACGGTACAATGTTATGTGCTCGGCTGCCAACCAAAAGGTGGGCAGTTTGAGCCCACCAGCTGCTCCTCGGGAGAAAGGTGGCTATCCATAAAGATGACTGCCCCAGAAGCCCTGTGGGACACTTCTACTTTGCCCTTAGTCTCTGGGTCAGTCAACTTGATGGTGCTTTGGCTACAAAAGAGACCCCAACCTCAAATATAAAGAGAACATTCAGTACTGACATAAGACAGACAGACACAGGTGCATCATCAGGATGAGAGGAGCCGTTAGCACAGAGTCAAAATGGCACCTGAGTATTCAAGTCGGGATGCTAGTGAAGGCTGGAACAAAGGAGACCACAAATTCATGATTTGCGGCAGATCAGTACATCACGGTGACAGTTGGGACTACCGAAGCAAAGGGCCACAATGGGGGTGCATACATTACATTAGACTTAAAGGCTTACAAGACTGTTTCAGGACCTGCCAACCAAGGCAGCCAAGGTGAGTTTCTCCACGAGATTCTGTCGAGACAGAACCGTGTTTTTTCTGCTTTGGAAACGAAAATTAACCAGTCGTTGGGGCAACCTTAGGCTAAGAATCAGTGCCTGTCTTTGGAGGTGAGGTGTGAGAACTTCAATGAGGTCCTTCGGGAGGGCATAAAGGTAGGGCACAATGGTCCCTAATAGGCTTTGAGCTCTACCTTTAACCTTTAAGATGCTTGGCCCTCTTCTCACCACTTTGGGTTCTGAGGAAAAGGTTGGCTTTTTATTCTGGTTTGTTTTTTTTTAAATAAATAATTTTGGGGGCTCTTACATCTCTTAGAACCGTACATTGATTATATCAAGCACATTTGTACAAATGTTGCCATCATTTCCAAAACATTTTCTTTCTACTTGAGCCCTTGGCAGCAGCTCCTCTTTTCCTCCTCCCCCAGGCTTTTTATTCCTATGTGGTGCCAAATTTTTTGCTCTTTTAATTTAATTTTCTGTAATATTACTGGCTTTATTCTGTATTCATTGGAGCTTAAAAAAAATTTTTTTAAACTCAGTTTACTACAAAAAAGGAAGAACTTCAGCCAGACATGACTAACCCGTGCAAGATCTAAAGTAGCAAAGCAAGGAGGCATCGCATGCAGAAGTGGATTATTGTGGACTGAGTGCTCTTGTCGCCTTAATAGGACACGTGGGTTCCCTTGATAATGATTTTTAACATCAATTTAGTCCCAGCCAATGTAAAATTGACAAGGAGATAAAACATCGCCTTCCTTTTTTTGTTGTTTCTAATTCGCTTTTTATTGTGAATAAGGTGGGAGTTTACAGAGCAGACCCAGTGTTACATCTAACAGCCCATGCCCATTTTGTTTCTGCTCCACCACAAGAATCCCCGCCGGCCCATGGCGTACCCACCACCTCCCTGCATTTCCCGCTTCCATCCCGCCTTCCCTACCCCTCGGCACTCTGTCCTTGGAAAAAGGCTGCCCTTTGGCTCTTAAGTGGTTCCTTACTCTATCTTCAGGGGGAGTTTTGTTCCAGACCTGCAGAGTGACTCTGGGCCACAGTCCTGGCCTTCCCACCATCCCTGTCTGCCCAGTAAGCCTGGTCTCTTATTTTGGGGATTATTCCATGGTTTTTCTATCCCGGACCTTTTAAGGAAAGAGTCACCTTTCTTAAGGAGCTCTTTCACATACTAGCTACATCGTGGTTGCTGAAAGTGTGTCATGTTTTACACTATCCAACGTCTCCCTTCACCCACTGGTCTGTTGTCCGTCCCCCAGGGAGGAGGTTATATGTAGATCATTGTGATCGTTTCCCCCTTTCCACCCCACCTACAACTCTCACCACTGGTCCTGAAGAGTTCATCTGTCCTGGATTCCCTGTGTTTCTAGTTCTTATCTGTACCAGTGTACATCCTCTGGTCTAGCAAGAATTTTAAGGTAGAAT